CTTAAAATAACCTACACATCTGCGGGTCAGATATCTGAGGCAGCTCTGGTCAGATATCTGTGTTGAGAGGGGAGTGTAAGCTCGGTTTCCAAACTGAAGTTAGGGTATTAGCCAGGGCTGCAGTCATCTCAAGACAACTGGGGGCGAATCCATTTCCCAGCTCCCTCACGTGGTTCTGGTCTCAGGGCCGCTATGGCTATTGGCCAGAGACATCAGTTCTTTGCCACATGAACTCCTCCGTAGGGCAGCTAGCAACATGGCAGCTGGCTCCCTTCAGAGCAAGTGAGCAGGAGAGTGAGGGAAGAAGCCCAAGGCAGAACTCGGCGTCCTTGTAACCTAATCTGAGAAGTGATAATCCATCACTTTTCTGTATTCTGTGCATTAGAAGCGAGTTACTAGTTCCAGTCCACCGTCAAGGCGTGAGGAGTATAACACGAAGATACCACCCGGGGCCATCTGAGAGGCTGCCCACAGTAATCTGTCCTCTGGCAGCCGATGATGTGTGCCATTCCCACATGTGAAATGCATTCTCCCTCCGAAGGGCTCTAAAAGCCCCAGCCCAGTACGGCAAAAGCGGGAAGTCCAGAATCTCAAGGCTAAATCAAGACCAGGTATAAATTAATCTCCTGAGTGTAGTTCCTTAAGTACAATCTCTCAATCTGTGAAACTGTGAAAGTAAGGAGACAAATTATTTGTCCCTTACGCTCAACACACTATGGTGGGACAAGATAACGGCTATGGACATTCTTGTTCGAAAAGGGGAAAGTGAGAGGCATTAAGGAGTCACTGGTCCGAAGCAAGTCTGAAATACAGCTGGGCAGATGTTGGAAGCTCCATGGTTAGTTCTCAAAGCCTGAGAGTAATTATCCACAGCTCTTGGTTCCACTCAGTCACTCTTTTTCATAAAAATAGCACATGTTTGCAGCTGAGCAGAATTCTGCTTCCTGACAGAATTCTGGAGGCCTGAAGTTCTCTCTTCATTCTATACCGTCACTTTCTCCCTCAGGCCAGGAGTCCATATATAATGTTTTCAAGGACTTTATGGGTTTCCTGGGAATCTTCTGGAGTTCATACTTGAGGCCTTATTGTTTGAGAGGATCTGTGAGATGTACCCTGAATCTCTTCTTTAAAGGAACTTTTCCATGAGTAAATAGTTTTCTGAGGCAACACATTTGATCTTCTGAGGTCTTAACAAAATACCAGTCGCACCTTCTACTTTAGCTTTGGCCGTATTATGGACTGAATGTTTGCGTCCCCCAAATTCAGCTGTTGAAGTGCTACCCCTCAATGTGATGGTATTAGGAGGTGGGGCCTTGGGGAGGTAATTGGGTTTAGATAAGGTGAAGATGAGATTAGTGTCCTTATGAGAAGAGGAAGAGACCAGAGTTTGCTCTCTGCCATGTGAGGACACATGGAGAAGGCCGCCATCTGTACGTCAGGAAGAAGGCTCTCACCAGGAACTGAATCTTGGACTTCTAGCCTCTGGAACTGGGAGGAATAAATATCTATTTTAAGACACCCAGTCTGCAGTATTTTGTTATAGCAAAGACAGATTTCGGTACTGAGAAGTGGGTGCCACTGTAATGAGCACCTAAAAATGTGGAAGTGGCTTTGGAACTGGCTAGTGCATAGAGGCTGGGAGTTTTGAGGTGCGTGCCAGAAATATGAATATTAAAGGCAATTCTGGTGAGGGGTCAGAAAGAAAAAAGGAGAGGCAGAGACAAAGCTTCCATTTTCCTAGAGAATACATAAATAATCATGAACAGAATGTTGGTAGAAAAATGGATGCTAAGGTCCATTTTGGTGAGATCTCAGGGGGAATGATGAACATGCTATTGGACTATGGAGAAAAGGCGATCCTTGTTATAATGTGGCAGAGGACTTGGCTGAACTGTGTCCTAGTGTTTTTGGAAGGAAGAACTTGAGAGCAATGAAATTGGTCATTCGGTTGAGATTTCTAAGGACAGTGTTCAAAGAGCAGCTTGGTTCCTCCTGACTGCTTATAATAAAACGTGAAAGGAAAGAAATGAATCGAAGAAGGAATTGTTAAGCAAAAAGGAATCAGAACTTAAAGATTCAGAAAATTCTCAGCCTGTCCATATTGCAAAAAATAAAAGTGCAAAATACCAAGGGATTTGGCTGGACTGTCACTTGATATAGAGGTTACTGAATTACGCAGGCAGAAATGCTGCCCATTTAAACAGAAATAGACCAAGACAGAAAGAAATGAAGGCAGGTTTTCACACTTCGTACCTTGGACAGGACAGGACAGTGAAGCTATTTGGCTGTGAACGTGTCCTATTTTTCAAGACAAGGGAAAGAATGGCTCCCAAGGCCATGCAGAGATCTTCAGAGCCACTGCCTTAGTTTCAGTAGACCAGACAGGCTTCATCTGAAGACACGGTGGCGGGGCCAGCCAGTCCAAGCCATGGAGGTAGGATCCTCACCTGGCAGAGCTGCAGGGGCAGACTGAAATCCTGCAGGACAGAGCACTGAACCAGGGGATTATTCTTGAACCTTAAGATCTAATGATAATTGCCTTGCTGGGCTTTTGATTTGCTTGGGACTCATCACCCCTTTCTTCTTTCTGATTTCTCCCTTTTCGAGTGGGAATGTCCATCCTAAGCCTGTCCCACCGTTGTATTTTGGAAGCACATACTTATTTGGTTTCACAGGTTAACAGCTGGAGAGGAATTTTGCCTTAGGATGAATCACACCTAGAGTCTCACCCACATTTGATTTAGATGGTATTTAGATACTCTGGACTTTTAGAGTTGAGGGGAGTTAAAACTATTGGAATGTTGTGAATGTATTTTGCATGTGAGAAGGACATGAATTTTTTTTGGGTTGGGGGGGCAGGTATTTTGTTACAGCAGCACAAGCTGACTAAGCCATTTTCCTTGCAGTGCCCTGGGTTTGAGTTTTGCTTGAAAGCCACTGCTTAATTTTAGCACTGGTTGCCATCTAGAGACGCTCAAAAATTTCAAAACCATCAAGTGATGGCTCCTCATTGTTTAATAATTTATCTCTCTTCTCACATTTTACTACAAGCATCAAGAAACCAGGCAGCACCTTCTTAGAAAGTGCCTTAGATCACCCAGTTCCTTCGGAAGATCTCTCCACACTAAATGCAGGAGTGTTGCTAAACCTTTTGCCACTTTGTAATAGGGATCCTCTTTCCTCCAGCTCCAATAACGTGTTCCTCACTTCTGTTTGAGCCCTCAGTGGCAGCATCCTCAAAGTCCAGATTTCTGCTAAGTTTGAGATAATTTAGGCTTTCTCCAGCACACTTAAAATATATCCAGTCTCTGTCCACTGCTTGGTTCCAAACCACTCCCATATTTTAGGTAGTTATGATAGCACCCCACTTATCACCAAACTCTGTATTAATTTCCTATGCTGTGTGACAAATTACCCCAACACTTAGTGCCTTAAAAACCACCTTTATTATCTCCATTTCTGTGGGTCAGGAAGTTGGACAGCACTTAGCTGGTTGCCTCTGGTACAAATTGAGTTGTTTGCCAAGGTTGCTATCATCAAGGCTCAATTTGGGGAGGATCCATTCTAAACTCACTCATGTGGCCACTGGCAGGCCTCAGGTTCTCAATGGCAGTTGGCAAGAGATTTTAGTTCTTTGACATGTGGGCCCTTCTACTGGGCAACTGCAGTGGGCTGATTAGTATCCCCTACAAATGTGTGTCCACGTGAAACCTCAGAATGTGATTGTATCTGGAAATAGGGCCTTTGCAGATGCAATTAAGATAATACTGGATTAGGGTGGGCCCTAAAGCCAATGACTGGTGTCCTCATAAGAGGACACAAAGATACAGAGAGGAAGGCCATATGAAGACAGAGGCAGAGACTGGAGTAATGTACCTACAAGTCAAAGAATGCCAAGGGCTCCCAGGAGCCACCGAAAGCTAGAAGAGGCAAGGAAGGCCTATTTCCTAGAGCCTTCATAGGAAGCACGGCCCTACTAACACCTGGGTTTTAGACTTCTGTCCTCCAGAACGGTGAGAATAAATTTCTGTTGTTTTGAGCCAACCAGCTTGTATCACTTTGTTATGGCAGCTCCAGGAAACTAATCAGTCGGCTTACATTTGACCTGGCTTCCTCTGGAGCAAATGAGAGTAAGAAAGGGAGCTGAAGAAAGAAGCCACAGTCTTTCTGTAACCTAATTTTAGACATGACCTCCTTTCATTAGAAGCAAGTCACTAGATCAACCCACAAGCATGGTGAGCGGATTACACAAGATCATGAACACCAAGAGGTGGGCGTCATGGAACACTGTCTTGGAGGCTGCCTAGCACCCACCTCCATAGCAAAAGATGGAAGAAACTTCCCCTTCCTCAGGGCTCTGCTTTCTCCATTCATTGATTCCTTTGACATATATTTATTAAGCACCTGGAGCAGGCTGTGTTGGGAATATGACCAATAATATAGATTTTTTCTCTTGTTGAGATTTAGTCTAGTGGGGAAGAGGACACTAAAGAATAAAAAATGAATATATACAAACTGTGATAAGTACAAAGAAGTAAGTTATAACAGGAATATCTGATTTAGTTTGGGGACAAGGGTTAGGCATCATTTTTCTGATAAAATGGTACTTAGAATGTAGCTGAAGAATGTGTAGAAATTACGGTGTGTGTGTGTGTGGGGGGGTGTTGAGAGGGGAGTGTAAGTTTCTTGTAGAGTGAGCTTGTGCAGATAACAGCCAAAAAATTGATCTGCCAGACTCAGAGCATTTGAGGGCAGGGACCTCATCTCCTCTTCATCTTTGTATCTCTATTATGTAGCACAGTATGCCTGGCACAGAGAAGCACTTGATAAATTCTTGCTGAATCAATGACTGAATAAACGAATCCAAGGCACCTTCTATTTTCTGTCATGTATAATGTCAATTCAAGTCATTTAGAAAATTTCCCCCAAAGTTTACTGCTAGATCACTATTCTTATTGGTGTTAGCATAGACAAAGCTATGATAAGAATACTCAAATACATAAAAGCTCAAAACAGCAGAGGTTTACTTTTTTTTCTCATATAACAGTCTTGGGTGGATGTTTAGGTCCATAGAGGCAGAGGTCTCTTCCACCCAGGAATCTTCCATCTCGAGGCCTTACCTTCTCCGGAACCTGGTTATCATCTTCTAGCTGGCAGAGTAAGAGCACAGAGAAGAACCTGTTGATGGATTGTCTGGACCAAGCCTGGAAACTGTGCACATTTCTTCTGCTTACTTTCCATTGGAAAAAGCAGAGGCATATGGCCGCATTTACGCTTTTTTTTTTGCCTACAGCACCTGGTCTTCCTCGGTGGTCTCCCACCCAAGTACTAACCAGGCTCGACCCTGCTTAGCTTCCAAGATCAGACGAGATTGGGCATGTTCAGAGTGGCATGGCCGTAGACCGCATCTACTTTACGAGGGCTAAAAAATGCACTACGGGGGTATAGCCAACAAAGAGGACAATTATGTCTGCACAATATCCAATTACGTGCTCGACTTATCACTCAAGAACCTCAAATTAACCGAGAGAGACAACATCTCTGGATTCCCCACCCTCGACCTCATCAAGTCCTTCATTCACCATCATCCATCCAGTTGCTTGAGTCAGACACCTGGATGTTATTGATTCATTTCTTATTCTCACCTTCCACACTGAATCCTTTGGGAAGTCTTGTCAACTTTACCGTCAAAACATATCATAAATCTATGCACTGTCTTACTGCCACCTTCTTAGTTCAAGCATCATAATAATCTCTCCTCTGGATTATTCCAATAGCCTCTTAAAAGCTCTCCTTATCTCCATTCTTTTTTGTTTTTCCTTTGTTGTTTCTTTTTTCTTTTTCTTTCCTTGTCTCCATTCTTGCTGGCCCACATTTCATTCTCTATACAGCACAGTGACCTTTTAAAACATAAACTTGGTCACCTCACTCTTTTAATAAATCTTTCCATGGCTTAGAATAAAATCCAAAGTCCTTATCGTGACCTTACCGAGACAGCCCCTGCTCACCTCTCCCTCATTCTGTCTCTCTCCTACTTTCTGCTCCAGCTACGACCTTCCTGCTGCTCCTTGAACACAGTTAGCTTATTTTCACTTAAAGACTTTTGCATTTGCTGCTCCATCTGCCCAGAAATCTCGTCGGATTTCCAATAGACAGCTCCTTCTCATTCCTCTGAGGTCTCAGTTTCCAAATCACCTGGGAAACCATCTCTGATCTAATAGGAAAAAGTCCCCACCTCCAGTTAGTCTCTTAACTCAGCATCCTGTTCACTTTTTTCTTTGCATCTATAAACTCTGTGTTTCTGTTTATTTTCTGCTTCTCTTTCCTCAAAGTAAGATCTGTGAGTAGCTACCATGTCTTGTTCTTTCTGTTTTCTCAGTGTCAAATAGGCCCGGCACATAGTGGTACTCGGTAAATAAGTGAAGGAATGAAGAAACATTCGTGAGGAGATCGGCCAAAAGCTCCTGCAAGGTGCTTTGGTAGGCTGGTGGTACAGTGTAGGAGCACAAACCTGGACCACTTCTCAGCTCTGCGCGAATTCCGCTCTCTGGGCCTCAGTTACCTAATCTGTCAACGGGGAAAAGAACATACTTAACCTTACAGCGCCAAATGCCCACTTTGTAAAGAAAACCCTAACGAAGGAAAAGAGGTTCACGTAAAATTAACTCTCCGTATGTTGAACTACCACAGCTACTATTACACATAATTCTGTTCTCTCACCGCAGGACCCGTCGGGGCCTGTGTCCTCTTCCCCACCGCGAGTCGACATCCCTGACTCCTTTGAGCAGGGTGGTCTTAGCGGCTCGAATCTCCGCGGCACGGGCAGAGAAGCCCAGGGCGGGCGCTCGCGCGGCCCTCGAGTCC